GTAATTACTCTGAGTCTTTATCTCACAGGAAAAACACGGCCATGCATGAAATGAAGCGTGTTCATCATGTCATCTATTGAATTTGATCTTGCATTTTTGTTAATAGCATGTGTGGTCCAGTGTTCCATACCAAAATATGTTCTCCTGGAGAAGGCTTGGCTGGTAAACAGCTACTCTATTCATGAAGGAATATTGTCTTTACCTGGATTCAAGAGTGCATGTGCTGGGGAGTGATTCTTATTGGTTCTCTTCTGTTTTGGAAAGCCCGATGTTGCATCAATTTCAGTGCCTTTGGAGGGGCGTTTCGGTATCCGATTGACTTTGTATGCATTGAGTCCAGCCTCTCCTGAACAATGAGCAATCAAGGAGAGTTCAGTGAAACATACTTTAATTAGGACGGGCCAGCAACTCTCCTGCTGTCAGTACAGGGTCGCGGGAGAAGCAATGTGCTATTGTTTCTTCAAAGATGAGTGCAGCCTTCATTTTGGATGGTTTTCTTTGTCTCACCTTTTGTAGTTTTCAGTAAGCCTTTTTTAACAAAGAGAATGATAGCATATTTCATGCTGCCAAAAATATTTCTAGGTGTGTATTCAGCTGTGCCAAGGAGAGAATTTTTTTAGTCTGGGCTTTGTTTAACAGGGATGTTGCTTTTGGAGTTGAAATTAATCACAGGAAGGTGGGGTTCTTACCACTTAGACTAATGTTTGACAACAGTTTAAAATTTCTGTTAATGGTTGCCTGGATTATTTTCCAAATCAAACAATAAGTAATTTTAAGTGCTGTAATAAATACGGTACCTTCTAAGGGAAAAACATTTAAGTGGCCAAGACTGAGCTTTATGGAAAGAGCACACTAAGAAGCAAAAACTCACATTGCATTTGTTGGGGTTTCTTTGAGTTCCATTTTATTTCAGAAGTGCCCCTGCTACCATTTAGTCCTCAAAGTTAAGAACTGATGTGCTTGCCATTTCAGACTGTGGAGACCACAGAAACTTGTGTACTGAGTCACCAGTGACACGGCTGGCTGGCTGCCACCATGCGTCTGTTCTTCGTGGAGAGCCCTGCTGATATCTAAAAGCTGTCAGGAATTATTTCCCTGCTCCTGGAAAGCCAAACGTGGCCATTTAAGTACTTTGTTAATGTTACTGCTTTGATTTAAAACCATATACTGGTTTAAGGGGTTCAGTGTATTCTTTGGTAGAGGAAAACTTCAGATTCCTAACTATGCTTCACTGCCCCCTCCCAGATCTCCTCCCGAGTCTGTCCTGAAGCGTAATAAATCATCCAATGTAACATTTCACTCACCTATCAGTTTTAAGGGAAAAAAAGAAGGAATATTATGAACATTTTTCACTTACTGTAATGCAGTATTGTGTGTACAATAAGAAAGTTTGATAGTCATTTATTGCAATACAGGGTCTCTATGGCTTGAAGCAGCCTGCAGCGTTCAGTTTTAAGATTCCATGTGTGCTGAAACGATCATGAGGAGGGGCGCTCAACCAAACACTTACTTCCTCTCTGGAATCCCTTGTAACAGACCAGGAGGTCGAAGAGCAGTGGCGGAAAGCACAGTTTCGACTGTACTGGTGCTGCTCTTCTTCACACACGTAGACCCTGCCCTCCCAGTTCACTTCTCCCCCTCTGCCTGCTGCGGACGTGCACCGCAGCCTTCTCTGTGTCCACTGTTAGGCTCGAACACTTGTTTGGTGAAGAATAAGTTGATGCCATTCCATAATTGTCTCTCCCTCTTCTTCTCTTCATCTCCTGAAACACTAACTACATTACCATGATCTTAGAGAATTTCTAAGAAGTGGGTTACCTTAAAATAAATTATTGTCAAAGGCAAACTTTGTAAACTTTCTGTGAGCATTGCCCTATTAAGCTGTGTGTCACCAGGAGCCATCGGGAGTATTCTCAGTGATGTTGACTCTCAAGGGCTGTGTCTTAAAACTCTTGGTGTCTGGGAGGAACTTTTTCAAAATGTAACATCAGTGTGTACTATGTAATGCACTGTGATATGCACTGAGGGCCTTCCAACATATACTAAAGGGGCATTTTTCTAATAGCACCAAATAAAATGTTTTTATATTTTTGTAATAAAATCTGCACTTTTAACTTTAGCTGAATCACATCTTAACTTTTTTAAACTACATTAAAAAGAGCTGTTAATATTTCTAAGGTAAGAAAATAAGTATGAATTTTTAAGCACTTTGCAATTTTGTTCTCTCCCTCATTGTAATCCCGTAGCTTTTTATTGGTGAGAGAATGACATCTCCCACCCATCAAATAGGTCTGTTAACATGAACTGGACTATAAAATATATAATATTTAAAAATTAAAACAGTATCTATTATAAGTGATACTGTCCAACTTTTTCTCTTAGGGGCTTAAAATCACAGCAGGAAAAATGTCATAAGTGACTTAAAAAGGAAAAGTCACTTCATGTAGAATATGATGTGTGATGTGCCAGAATGCAACTAGGCTGAACAAAGCCTAAAATGTTGTAAAAAGGAGGGAGCAATGGGCAATACCTGCTATTGGCTATAAGAGTATAGGTGGCTGTGATATCAAAAGAACCAAAGGAGATCTGTCTTTAGCAATCAATAAATATTTTTGGATTGACACTCCCAAAGTATCCTGGATTGGAAAAATATTTGAAGAGACATCAGGCCTGTTATCTAAGTGTATTTATTATTTTATTTTATTATTCAATTCTACAACTAGGGGCACCTACTATGTGCTAGGTTCTGTGCTAAGCCTTAGTGAGAGAAAGATGGAAGACACAGCCACCCTGCAAGAAGCAGCCTACCAAAGAAGCATAGCAAACAATAATAATAGGGAATGTAAGAAACGGGACAGAGCACCAAGAAGGGTTGACCAGTTCTCTGGACAGCTGCGGGGAGCAAGAAGGCTTCAGGGGAAGAGAGATAGCAGTGCCTGATCCAGAAAGAACTCTTTCCCACCTACCTTGTACCATATCCACCGTGTTCGTGTTAAATGGGATTCGGTGTGAGCCACAGATCTGTTTCATACTATATGTTGACTTTCAGTTTCACCCTGTTGTCTGATTTTTTATCTGTATTAAATGTTCAAGGTGGGGGTTAGGAGCCCTGAACCCTGTGCAGTAGAAAATTCACATATAACTTTTGACTCCGCCAAAACTTAACTACCCTTAGTACCTATGGGGGATTGCCTCTGGGATTCCCCCGCAGTTACCAACCCGCGGATGCTTAAGTCACCATGTAAAGTGGCCTATGTCAATGGACATAGGCAGCCCTTTGCCTCTGTGGACTCCCAAGTGAGGACAGCAAACAGAACAGGTATTCATTGAAAAAAAAATGTATGTGTATATAACTGGACCTGCACAGTTCAAAACTGCAACCCATGGTCAAGTGTGTAAACTACCTTTTTTTCTTTCTTCTTCTACTGTCTCTTCTTAGAATACACATTCAGTTGTTGCATGGAAATATTTTTATTTATTGTAATAGATTTTTATCACATGAGATTGAAAAAATTTATATGTAGAAATTTATTTTTTCTATTTTATTTTATTTTTTAACTTATTTTATTGTTCAAGTACAGCTGTCTCCATTTTCCCCCCACTACTCCCCCCACTGCAGCCATGTAGAAATTTTAAAATGCATCTAAAGGAATTACAAAATACATTTATTTCTGTTTTACTCTGAAGGAATTCAGTGATGACTTTTGGCACTGTTGGCATTGCCAGGAATTAGTACTTGCTATTAGATGCCTGTTGACTTCTCTTTAACTGACTCTTTTGTTCATTAAAGTCATTTGTTGTGTACATGCTTATTAAAGACAAGCTTGTTCAAAAGTCTGGGCTTTGACAGTAACACTTGCATTTCATCTTATTATGATTAAGGTCTTTTGCTTTTCTTATACATTTAATTGAATTTAGACAGATTTTAAATCTTCCCAAATTGGGAGGGAAAGTCCACTGTCAGGGTCACATAGTTGCATCAGATCTTGCCACCAGGAAAATGTTCCCATGAAAACAGACACTGCATTTTGGATCCTGCAGAACACGCACAGACCCCTCCTGATTCTGTGGTGTTTTGCTCTAGTCGGCTTCCACACTTCCTTGGCCATCCTTCCCCAGGCCCCCTCTCAGAGTTGGAAGAGTTCTTGGAGCTGATTGTCAGAGCCGGAAGCTCTCCCACTCTGTGGCCTCCCTTCTGTTTCCCTCCTGTCTGGCCGCTCCTGCCCCGTCTCCTTTCCTTCCCACCTTTCAGGTCTATATTCTCCCAAGGTTCTATCCTATATCAACTTCCCTCCCATCTGATTTCCATCACCATGGACTTAGCTGTCACTTCTCTGTCAGCTCCCCCGACCTCCTCCAAGGCCTTGGCTGCCCCCTCTGCCTGGAAATTGCTCCCCTCAGTAGACCCTGGCTCACTTCCTCACTGCCTTCAGGATTTTGCTCAAATGTCTCCAACTGCCATCCCAGAGGGACATTCTGAGATACTATCTCTTCTATTTAGTCTTCTCTTGCTGAAATGCAGAATATCAGAGGTCCGAGATTTGGGTCTTAACCACCAGAGCCTAAAACCAAACTTGGTCCCTGAGTGGCCCCCTGGGGATTGTGCACCAAATAGGCTCTGAGGCCCTGGAAACTCGAACACCCTATCTCTCATGCTCTGGGTGGACTCAGACTCAGGTCCAGCAATGAGATGACGTCCCATCAACCTTTATTTAAGTGACTTCTCACAAGTTGATACTTACATTCTTCCTTCTGTATAATTGCTGTCTACGGTTAGATGTCTCCTAATAATGAAATTGAAGTGAGCAAGACACTTGACTTCTAAATGAAGTTTGTAAAAACTAACACATTTTGGTTTATGCACATGTTTGTTATTTATTTTTAAAACTTAATGACAATTTTTAAAAGCATTGTCATTTTCTGTTGCTATATATGTTTGATAGCCTGCCTGTTTTGTCAAATAAAACAGCAATAGCCGTCTGTTCTTTCTCTATTTTTAGATACCTCTTGCTGCAGAGTACTTTCAGAAAGGAAGTCTTCCCTGTGACTTCTGCCTGCCATCCATAAAATACTCATTCCTTTCAAGTAAGTCTATTGTGTTGCTATGATCTATTCTCAGCAGAAGGTATTGATTCTCTCTGAAAACCTGTGTCATTATTACATTAAGACAAAGAGGCCGAGGTTTCAGATAGTTTGCTATCTGGCTAAAAAATAAATAAATAAAAGTCCCTTCCTTTGAGGTCCCTGCCAAGACCAAATAACACAAATGATGGTTCACTTCCCCAAGGGTCTCCACGATGTGTCCTCTACATATTGCTAGTAGTTACAGTTTTTTTAAAGCTGGGTCCCATTTACCAGTAATCAGGTATTGAGCAGTGCATGGATTTGAAGACAACATTAAAAGATGAGTATCTGTACACTCCAGCGAGAGGTATACTGTCTGTGGTTGGGGAATGTGGTGGTGCTTTCTGAAAGGGCAAATGGTGTGGGGCCAGCAGCAGATGCCCTGGGAGTGTGGCGAGGAGATATTTGCAGGATGGCCTCTCAAAGGAGGCCATGTGGAGAGTGTAGAACTAGTGTGCCAGCCGAGGGACAGCCCAAGAGGGCGGAGCAGGTGTTGAGGACAGCCAAGCCAGCAGCCTGGGAATGTGTGTACACGTGGAAGACACTGCTGGGTACTCTGCCCCATGTGCATGCCACTCCCAGCATCGCTGCCTGGTCTCCAAAGCTGATGGAGAGCCTGGAAACATCCCATTACCAGACCATGAAGGAGCTGAGGGAGTGAATGAACTTCAAGATACAGATGTTTCTCCTCTTTACAGAGGGCTTGAGAGTTCAAAATTGCCAAATGAGGAAATTAGGAGTGTTTAGACAATTGAGAGATGGCTCTCTAGCTAATTCATGTCAGCAAACACCTGAAGGGTAGTAAAAAGAACACAAAGTCCTAACCTCTGTGTCTTATTCCCCAGGAGCATGTGCTGTGATTTGACTGACACCCTTCCTGGAGTCTCCTCTCCAGCCTCCATATGCAGCATGCCATTACTTCTATAGTGCACTGTGCATCTTGTAGTTTGTTATTATGGCATTATGCAGGACGTTGTTAGGTAGATATTAGTGCTCTTCAGGAACCTCAGACTCTTAACTAAGGCTGACAACCACAAATCAGCCTGTGACAGCTGAAATTCTACGATCTTTAGAAAGAGACAACAATCTTTGGAAAAAGCCAACAAGATCTCTTAGTGATACACCCTGAAACCCATCACTCTTCTCACTACATTACCTTATTTTCTTATCCCAGATATAAGAAATTCTGATACGAAAGCCTTGGGCCCCTGTTGGCTCTCATCCCCAGGCCTTGTAGAACCCAGGAGGTAGCATTGTACCTGAGCACAGGTAGATTTAGTGGGGAATGCCTCTGACAGAGCTGTACTCTCTGCACAACATTGTTCTCGGAGCCCATGTGTCCTGGTTTGCCCACAGACAAGGGGTTTTCTGCCACATGGGGCTTTCAAGTGCAAAAGCAGGAAATGTCCCCAGCAAACAGGGTCCTGTTGGTCTCCCTCTTGATTCTCAGCACCCCTACTCTCATACACAGCCAGATGGTGTTAATGCTCACCAAGCTGTCTCCTGACAGCAGGTGAACCTCAGCTTCCCTGCTTACTGACCCTGCTAATGGACATCTCTAAGCCTCAGTTTACCATATGCCAGATAAGAATAACAGCAAGTTAGCAGAGATTTGGGGAAGGTTACATGGCATAAGCTCTGGGAAGTACCTGGTACAGCATGGACATTTGAGAAGTGGAGGCCCCTCCTTTCTCCCTTCCAGATGAACTATCTGCAGAAGACAGTTACCTTCGCAGGTGGAGCCATCTTGAGCTTTGTCACTATCATTATTTAGCTACATCCTGTGTGGGGAAGATGAGAAAGGATTTAACCATGTGATTCATTAACACAATGTCACCTGGGTTATAGACACTAAATCCTGGCCCCTCATCTAATTCTCAAATACCTAGTTGTGTACAAGTTACTTGAAGTTGTTTTTATATCAGGTTTCCCGTAGGTAAGAAAGAAACATGTAATGCTTTAAAGGTTATTATGAAAAGCATCATTTTTGTTTTATTCAAATGTTTTCAACTGCTCTGGGCCATTTTTGAATTTAAAGTTCATTAAAATTTGATTCTATTCTGAGCTCTTAAAATGCAGATCAGTAGCATCATGAAGACATGTTATACTCTCATTAACGTTTTTCACTACTCCTAAATACGTGCACTTAAGTTTGGTTTTTAGAATACAAGGTGGATCCTGTTTAAAGTGGTCCCATGTTTAGGGAAACTGAAAAAGAAATGAAGGCATAAAATAACCTTGTAATATTCTTTTGGTCAAACTTTTGAGTTTTTCCAATCTAGAATATAAAACCTCCTGTGTAATGTGTATGTACATCATCTTGAAAGGAATATACAAACACCGATTTCTATGCATTATTCATGTGATTGTAATTTCAGGAAGTAGGTTACAATGTTCCCTTTGTTTTTAGTTTTTTCTTATCTTAATCAAATTTAAGTAATTGATAGTCAGTTTCTCTTGGAAAGTTTCCTTTTTCACAACTTCTCTGCAAGGGACTTCTATTCTTTTATAGTGTGAGAAATTGCTGCGAGCAAAATCCACATCTGCAGATTTTTGTGTGTGTGTTAAATGGTCCTGACCAAAAATAAGTGTTAGTTTTCCCCAAACACCATTTTTCCCATTTCAGTGTTTCCTAAAGTTGGTCCTCCAAAGCGAGTGATTTGTTCCCTGTCCATGACTCATCTGTCTTTCTTGCCAGCATCTCTCTGACTTTTGCCTTTCCCTAGATCAGCTCTTTGCCAAGTGAATGACTCAGAGCTCAAGTTCTACCAGTACAGTCAGGTGTGGCTCCTCCAAAGCCCTCTCAGTGACCTTGAGTGAGGTGTCCTCGGGAGCCAGGGAGAGCTGGCCTCAGTAATGAGACCCACCTGCAGTTGAACAGAGCCAAGCTCTTGACCATGCTTGCTGCTTTTTTTTTTAAAGGAAGAGAAGCAGACATGCTCTTGAAAAAGTAGCTGGGGTTTTAGTTGATTTATTCTGCTTATTCACAAAAATAAAAGAGACTTCTAGAAGAATAGACATAGAGATATTCCGCTCTCTAAAGTAAAAAAATACTCTTATACTCACACACAAAGTATAATTCCTTTTCTTGAAGATTTAAGAAAAATTTATTATGAAGTTCAAGAGGCCACTATTGACTACATTTTAAATTGCTAAATTGCCAATTAAGTTATTTGGCATATATAGGTTATTAAATTTTTTAATCAAGTAAGACGAATTCTGTAGGTTACTATCTGTATGTAGCTTTTTTGTTTGTTTTTAACTATTAATGGCTAATACATTATAAACCAGTTCATTGTCAGTGTCATCACTGATTGCCTACAAAGAGCATCAGAAGGGTTAAGCCCATCATCTGTGGAAAGCCAGCTCTAGGAGAACTGTGCTGGAGGCATCCTGTGCCTCAACAGCAGCCTTCACTTGTCCTGCAGAGAAGTCACTAGGGTCTTCATTGCATAGATGAGGATGCAAGAATGAAAGAACTAAACCTCATACCAAAGGGGAACCATATGATAACACATGCTGGGCATAAAACCCAAGTCTAGCCAGGCTCCTCAATCAAACTCTTACCAGCCTGTTCACACCAGTTTACTTCTGTCTCATGATGGGGCCATAAATAGAATGGGAAAGTTGTTTGGGGGAAACTGGGCTGTAGGGAAAGTACAATGGGAAAATGACAAGACAACATGGATATCTGATAGAGTATTAGAATGACTCCCTAGAAACCACTGAAAGTCTTCAATTAATTAAGAAGGGAAAAGACCAGAATGTCAAGTAATGAAAGACGGAAACCTAAGAGGACGCCCAATAGAGGTACTGAGCCATTGCAGTTGTGCCTGGAGAAAAGTTAGAATGTCAAGACTTCTACATTTTCTCCTCCAACCTGTTAAAGTGTCTGCTATTGTTATGCGGACTGACAAACTCTTCGTGAGTTCTGACTACTTAGAGAAGTTCAGAGAGATGCGAAGTTCCTCAAGACCATGTGATCAGTGAGCATTAGTGTACCCTATCCTCTCCATACTGGTCTCTCTCTTGAGTAGCCTATGTTATAATGGCACTTTTCCATGGCACTATGGTCTGAAGGTTTGTGTGCCCTGCAAAATTCAGATGTTGAAATCTAATACACAATGTGATGGCATTTGGAGGTTGGCCCTTGGTAAGCAATTAAGTCATGAGGGTGTAACCCCGTTCTTATAAAAGAGGTTCAGAGAGCTCCCTAGCCCTCCCTGCTATATGAGGACACAGAAAGAAGTCAACAGCCCAGAAGAGGGCTACCACCAACACATAGCCATCATACTGGGACCTTGAACTTGGACTTCCAGCCTCCAGAACTGAGAAATACATGTTTATTGTTTATAAGGTGCCCAGTTGGTGGTATGCTGTTATAGCCACCCGAACAGACTACAGGCACCTAGGGTGGAAGTGGACTCTGACTTTGGGTAGCATTTGGACATAGCTCCTCTCATAGCTTCACATATCTTTCTTGGTTTGTCCTTGTCCTGAAATTTTTATCTCACTTTCACTTGAGTGCCATGGGTCTGCTTCTCTATAGGACACATTTAAAACAGAGCTTCTCAGCATTGTCCTTGGTCATAGAGAGAGTTTTCACTACGGCAGGTAGTCGGAAGTCTCTTCTTCTGGAAGGAAGCCCCTGTGAGTAACTCCGGGTTCTTGGCCACGCATACGCATTCAGGCATCAGGCCCTGCTGGCTTCCCCTCGAGCATCATCCATTGGCATTACCATCTCGTCATCAACCCCTGATGACTGAGCCTTGGGCTAGTCAGCCTGTCTCTAGTCTCTGCTCTCAGACCAGTCAGATTAGAAAGTAGAGAACTCTTTTACAAATGCTCTTTTCATTATGTTACTTCTCTCTGCAAAACCCTGTTTTCTCCCAGTTGCCTATCAATCAAATGTAAATTCCAGAGACTGGCAGTTAAAACTACCTCTCAGCTGGTCTCTCCAT